ACGCCTTAAGCTGCATCTCGCTGACGCGGCTGGCCGTGCTCGCATTGCGGCTAGAGCAGGTGCGAGAGCGATGAGCTCGGACAAGTGGTCTGGCCCCCTGGAGGAGCCCCAGGCACCCGCGCTTCCATCTAGGCCCCCTTTCGCCCGCTGCTGTTGCCCGCGATCTTGCTTCCATGCGCCGTTCTTCTCGGCGCAGTTGTAATCGTTCGGCGCTTGCCAGGGGGTGGATCAGAGCTCTGCCGCGACGAGCGTATGAGCGCGCCGCGATTGCCATGGCGTGAGTTGCCGCGCGCTTGGAGGTCCACGGCGTGAACCGACCTGGGGAGAGCCTGCCGCGCTCCTTCACCGCGCCCCTGGCAGCTCTTGACATCTCCGCAGCTGCTGCAGGCCATGCCGCGGCGAGTCGCGATGATTCGCAGAGTTCGCGCGGTGCAGGCGAGAGAAGGGGCGTGCGCAGGTTTCCCATGCGGAGCCAATGTGCGGGCGCCGCTGTCTCTGGAGGTGTGGGGGCCCGTCGCTGTTGCCGTCGCGCGGGGCGCGCGATCTGGGGGCACGGGGGTGCGAAGTGCAGACGTGGCGCGCGCGCGCGTTCGAACCGCGACCTGCACGGGCAAGGATAGCTACGACGGCGGTTAGCTCGAGCGCTTCGCGCGCCTGTCCAGCACCCGAGACCGCGCAGCCTGGGCGTTCACTGCGTCGGCGACAACGAACGCGCGCTGTCTTGTCAGGCCCGCGTGGTCGCCGAGGTTGAGCGAGGGTGCGCGTGGGCGCGTGCATATCTTCAAAGGCCGCGTCGGGGGTTCCAAAGCCCCGCGCGGGGAATCGGACTCTCGAAACCTACGGCCGCCACTCGATATCTTCGGGTGCAGCGTTCGCCCTGGAATGGGGGTGAAAGCATCAATTGTCATTTCTGCATGAGTGCCCAGTCTTTCTGCATAACAGACTTCCCCCATCATCATGTCATGTCCCTGCCACTGCTGGTTGCCAATAGGGGGGGGGGGGGGGCTTCATGTTGATGGCTCGTTGTTGACGGGGGTCGCAGACTTGTGGGTGTGCCAAAATCATGCGTGAGCCTCTGTCATTGTAATATGTGTGACGGTGGTCGGATATTTAGACGCCATATTGGTTCTTCTTTGTTGCATCCGTATGCAAGCCAAACCAGCATTATTATATGTCGTGTACTAGTAACCCACGTCGCGCGGTGACCTCTGCCCTCAACTGTGAAATGCATGCCACTCCGAACAAGGTCTGGCGGACGCGATATATAATTATATATATATATATATATAATATATATATATATAAAACAACGAAGAAGTCAAGCAAAAGCGAGCGAGAGCGCGAGGCCACGCCGTGGAGGGGCTTGGGTTTTCATCGGCGCTTGGAGCTAGAACTGCAAACGCCTGAAACGAATGTCGTTAATCGCGGTTCTAGAGAGACGCGGTCCACGCAAGCTGAAACTGCATCCGTCGATTTCGCTTTTCCCAGCGGTGAGCCATGGGGGCCGACCCCAGAAAAAGGAATTCGGAGCATGTTCTTGCCGTCAGGTGCGACGTTGAGATCATCAGATTGCAAAGAATTCAAATATTTGAAGTGGGTGCCTAGTGGGATCCTTGGACGTCGGTGCGCGCTGCTTTTGAATGGTTGTCTTGGCCGACAAGGTAACTTTGAGTTGCCGTCTCGCAAGCGAGGTCCGAGCCGGCTTGGTAAACGGTGTGATGCGAAATGATACTTAGCCACCGCCGAGCTGCCAGCGTGTCTGTCTCCTTAGACAGGTTGATGGTACAGACTTCATGACAGGAAAGAGCCGACATTTCAAGATGTGATGCGGTCGACCGCGCCAGGGGAGACATGCCGCGCATGGCCCCACAGCGTATATATATATATATATACATATAGCCGTTGTCATGCTGTTTCTGTGCTAGTGCTGACTGCCAGACCACTTTGCGAGACTTCCAAGCGCAGAAACGAATGTGTATAATGGCATGTGCAGGATCATGCAGATTACTGGCCCATGCGTCTGGCGACGTGCAACGCGTCGCCGGACAAAGCAACTATACTTATACGCTGATGCCCTGTTATGATGGTGCCCCATGTTTTGGTTTCGTTCGGCTTCTGAGTCTGTCGAAGATGTTATTTCAGAGGAGCCTGGGATCTAGCTTCCTGCCAGTGCGCAGTGGCTTCCATCTCCTCGGGGGGTCTTGGCAGGTGTTGTCTGCGCCGGGCCCGAGACTTCCCCGCTCCATTGGTTCGGCCGTTCTCTCCCGTGGCTGGAGCCCAAGGCGTGGGCCCGCGGAGGGCCGCGCAGCTTTGAAGGGGTTGGCCTCCCGAGCTGCGAAAGTAATGTAGGAGACGTCGGTCGCGGAGATCATGCCAGCCGAGGCGATTTTAACGAGCGCAATCGAGATATTTCGCTTCCAATGTGCACCTGAGAGTGTGAGGTATCGAGCTCAGTCAACGAGGGCCTTGCCTTCGTTGCGCGTCCGCGGGCACCCCGTGTGCTCGCGCGCGTGCGCAATAGCTCCAGCTTGTTCGCCTGCGCTGCGGTGAACGCGCCCTTGGCCCGCGCGGCGCACGCCCGTGCCCAGCTGATAAACAAGAGATTGCGCGCGCGTGTGCGATGCAGAGACTCCCGTGACACAGTCCATCTGGAGACTAAGAACATCATGCAGCTGCAGTACTTCAGTGAACGGCGCAAGACCTTGAGAGAGAGAGAGAGAGAGAGAGAGAGAGAGAGAGAGAGAGCGAGAGAGCGTGTGGTGGGGTTGGTGGGTAGCGCCAATGCAGGCTTCCGGGCGATGCGTCTAAGTCGCCTGCCATGGGTCCACGTCTAGCGAATCCGAAGTGCGCAGTTAATCGTGAGGACAGACGCGTGCGCGCAATTCGCGTGGATGGAGGACGCAAGGTTATCACTTGCAAACCACGTGTCTAGTTCTGCGATCAGAAACCCTAGCATGACCGGAATGTCGGGCGAGGGGCGATGGTGGGGCAGCTGCCGGGGAGCTCCGAACTTGAGGCGTTCCACAATGTGCAGCGCGCTGGTGTGAGCACGACGTGCGCCCCCACATCTCAATTGGATGTCGATCGCATCTGTCCAACCAATCGTCGGAAGAAGCTGTTTCTCGAAACCCATCTCGAAGGCGGGTCTGGGGGGGGCTTTTTTTCACAGGGCTGTTGTTCTTGAGTAAGCGTTCGCAATCGCGCGTCTACTGTTTTGGTTCGCTCATGGATGAGCGCGTTCATATATGGGGGCCCCATAACTACGTGTGTGCTGGATGTGGAACAACTTCGCGAGAGCGGTCCAGCACGGCAGTTTGCTTTGCCTCCGCGCCATCGCGTGCGCATCGTGAAGAGTGGGTTCAGCGCATCCGCCTCCACGAGACATGGCCGTGTCGTCAGATGGGCCGAACGGCTCAGTGCAGTGTTTTTTTTTCTGGTGGAAGAGAGTGGCCACGGTCCAGCTCTGCATCGCCGCTTGCGAGCTAGATTCCGGTGGCTTCTGCCATTGATGGACATGTGGCTGTGACACGCGGGCGACGTATGATATTGCGCAGTTAGGGAGCAGCGACAGCGAGTGGTCGTGCCGTGGCGATAGGCGCGCATAGTGTCGGCATTGTGGTCTGGGACCCTTGCCCTCGCCGCTCGCAGGCGCAAGTAATGTCTTCAGTTTTTTAAGCGACTAGAACCGCGCGCGCAGGCACACGGGCACGCACGCGCGCCCGCACGCGCACGCGCACACGCACATGCGCATACTCGCGCACACGCGCACGCACGTGCACATGCACGCCCGCGCCAATCCGCACGCGCACACCCACATGTGCACGCACACGCACACGCACGCGCACGCGCACGCGCACACGCACACGAAAACACACACACACACACACACGTGCACGCGCACACGCACACGCGCGCACACACGCTCACGCGCACGCGCGCGCACAAGCACACAAACACAGGCACGCACACCATAACACCCGAACGCGCGGCCACACAAACACACAAACACACAAACACACCAGCAAACATTCACACACACACACGCACACACACACACACACTCACGCACACACGCACAAAACACACGCACACGCACGCGAACGCGGACACGCGCACGCGCACGAACACGCGCGCACACACACGCACACGCACACGCACACGCACAAACAACAGTCAACACAGAACACGCAGAACACACACACACACACACCACACTCACAACACACAAAACAAGCACAATCCACACAATCCACACAACACACCCAACACACAACATACACACACCACACACAACACACAACACACAACACACAACGCACACACACAGCATACACGCACACACCACAACACACAGCACACAACACACAACACACACCTCACAGACACACCACACACAACCCACACACACGCACGCACGCACGCACGCACCCACACGGACAGACAGACATACAGACAGACACACGCACACACAACATACAGCACACGTTACACACCGCACAAGACGCACCACATAACGCACAACGCACAACACGCAACACACAACATACACACCACACACCACACAACACACAACACGGACACAACACACAACACTGGCACGCAACCCACCACACAACACACAACACACAACACACAGTATACAACACACAACACACAACACACAACACACACTCCACAGCACACAACACACAGCACACAGCACACAACGCACACAACGCACACAACACACAACACACACCACACAACACAACACAACACAACACACCACAACACACAACACACAACACACAACACACAACGCACAACAGTACGCAACACACAACACACACAGCACACAATACACAGTACACAACACACAGCACACAAGTCAAAGCACACAGCATACAACACGCAAGACACAGCATACACAGCACACAACACGCACACAACACGCACACACACACACACACTCACGCGCGCACGCAGCATCCTGGGCCAGTCGCGCCCAGAGCTTTCTCCGCAGCCATTTTGGCTGAATGTCCTATTGGTCCATGTGGTGGCCCCATTGACCAACGCCCGCTGAGATCGGGATGGGCTGGGCTCGGCTGGGCTGGAGGCGCTCGGCGGGGCTGGGCTTGCCGAGGGCCGAGCGGGAGGCATGCTTCGACTTCGTAGTGCCTTCGGGGTCAGACCTTGTCCGAGCCTGTGGCGTCGCCAAGGCGTCGGAGCTGTCGGCGCTTCCTGCTCAAGGCCTGCCCATTACGCGCGGCCGCGGGTTTGAGAGGCGCTCCGCGCAGACAGGCCCGGCCGGTGGGCGGCACGGCGCCTCAAGGCAGGACATGCAGATAGCAATCAGCGACGTACTGAGCCGTCACGCGCTCGACGCGGCGATGCGCGTCAGGTCGGTTTCGCACTTCATCGGCATCTTCATAGATCAGTGGTCCCCGCGGGGCATCCGTATTCTCGAAGGGAAGCACATGCCCTATATTCCCGAGGATCATCCCCTGGCTTGGTGCGCGCGAGAGAGTATCCGCTCCGAGAGGGACTGCTGGAAAGAGTCCATGAATATAATGCGAATGCTGGCCCCAGGCGAGACGGTGGCCGTCGACCTGAGCTGCCCGCGGGAGCAGTGGAGACTCAGTGGCATGCTGCCGCTGTCTCGCGCGAAGCCAGCATTGCTTCCGCGAGGGGTTGCGAACATCAAGAGGAAGCGTGTTGTGAAGCGTGTGGTTCCCATGGGCCGCGTCGCGAGCGATGGCTGGATGGAGGGCGGCTCCAGGTGCAGTGGTGAGGCTGCCGCAGCATCCCGCGATAGCAGGACCCGCTAGCTGGAGGCCACAAAGTAGGATCGACGGCGAGCGAGGGGGGGAAGTGAGAAGGGAAAGCCTCTCCCAGAAGGCGGCGGGACTTCTCAGAAGCTCTCGCTGCTTCTGATACGTTTTTAATGTCTTCGGGAGAGGCTAAGACAACCTTTCAGAAAGCCGAAGAACTTCCGAGCCTTCGAGAAGGCCCGCCCCTTCTTGCTTCCCCCCTGGGCGCGCTGCCGACTAGTAGGGTCCCCCTGGCTGGAGTCCACACAGAAGGGTCTCCGGGAGGAAATAGTGGGGGATGTGCTGCAGGTTGTTGTGAGTTTGAAGATGTGAGAGGAGAGAGGTCTGCAGCTTTTCTCTCACAGCCAGGGGAGTTTGTTGCCGAATTTATACTAGGCATCCGGGTCAATGCGCTCGGCTGGCTTTTCACGCCTAACCATGACGTCCCAGCAAGCAGTTTATCCAACTGCCTCCGGCAATTCCGCCACCGTGTCAGCGCAGCATTCTGGGTAGCACCTCTGGGCGTGTTTCTTTATTGCTTGGGGCATAATGGGCATTGTAGCCCCCGGCCCCCCCTCCTCCCCCTCCTATAACGTAACGCCCCTTCCTCCCCAGTGCGCTCCGGGCACTGCCGCCGTGCGCACGGTGGGGGGGAGGCGTTACATTATACACCTTCGCTGGTCTTTCTCTCTCTCTCTCTCTCTCTCCCCCCCTATAATGCCCATGGTCGCCGAAAATAGAGAAACGCGTTCCTTTTCGACAAGGCAAAGGGGCCCTCTGGGGGCGTCTTAAGGACAGACGGCTCGAAGGCTTGGTTCGTGTTCCACTCTTGGGCCCTCCTTGGCGCCGTCTGGGGGCCCTCTTGGTCAGGCTTGGGCACCTCTTGGGCCGTCTCGGAGCCCTCTCGGGCCGTTTCGGAGCTCTCTTGGGGGCCTCCTGAGCCGTCTCGGGGGTCTTGGGGGCTTATTTGGGCCGTCTTGGAGTGTGGGAGGTTCGAGAAAGCGTGAACCCCAACAACACAGAAACAGCCATGGCCAACTGTTTTGTTTGCCTCTCGGGGCCCTCTCGGGGGCCTCTTTTGGCCCTCCTGGGGCCTGAGGAGCCCTCTTGGGGCGGGAGGCTCGAATTCTCGGTTCGTTTTCACCCTCTTGGGGCCTTTTTGGGGGCCGTCTTGGGGCCCTCTTGGGCATTTCGGGGCGCCTCTTGGGCCGTCTGGGAGCCCTCTTGGGCCTTCTTGGGGCCCTATGGGGGGCCTCTTGGGCCCTCTTGGGGCAGTCCTCGTGACCTCTTGGGTCGGCTTGGGACTTCGGAAGCTCGAAAAGGCGAGAACCCGCATCGCATTGAAAAAAGCAGCGGCAAATCCATGTTTTTGTTTGGCCTCGCGAGGCCCTCTTCGGACGGCTCCTGGGGCTCTCTTGGGTCGCCTCGAGGGCCTCGTGGTCCGTCTTGGAGCTTTCTTGGGCCGTCTTGGGGCCACAGTGGCCTGTCTTGGAGCGATATTGTCGGGGGTGGACAGAACCCCCAACAGTGACACGTCGATTAGTGAATTGTCCGTTTTCGGTTTTCGAGAGGGCGCCGCGGCCGTTATTTTCCAGGCTTGCGCCCGCCAGGTTCGGGCCTCAGGTCGTTTTCACTAAACCACGTTTTGCGAAAGGGGGGTCTGTCCATCCCCGATATTGGGGGTCTGGGCCTTTGAAGCGCGAATCTGTCGTGTTTGGCGAGGGATTGTGGCCTCGGGAGGAAGGGACGATGCATGCAAGGTAGTGCTACTGGCAGAGGGGGCGGCCCTAAGCAGATTACAGAAACCCTACCAGGCAGCACTTAGCATTCTAGCACGCCTCAACGTGCCAGGAGGCATGGTGGCGGATTTGCGAGAGATGTGCAGCGCGACGTGCACCGTATTTCTGAACAGAATCTCCGAGACCAGGCGCGACGTTGGTAAGCATGCAGCCCTGCAGGTCTGTCTCGCCGGCGCTCAAGCCACGCGCCCCCGCATTAGCTCCAGTGTTCTGGTGTCTGGTCGGCAGGTTACCAGAGGGCCCATAGCACAGATTCGGCTGCCCTTGGTTCCCTCTGCCTCCCCCTCTGCCTCGTCCTCGTCCTTCCCTTTCCAGCTCCCGTCTACTGCTCCTCCTCCTCCTCCTCCTCCTTTTCCCCATCCTCCTCCTCCTCCTCCTCCTCCTCCTCCTCCTTCTCCTCGCCCGCGCGCAGCGCGAATGGTCCAGGGATGCACTGCACACTTAGGCGCCTGAAGGCACCCTGGCCAGCTGCAGGTACGCTGGCCTTCCGCATAGTAATGCAAACGTCTCCTGCGCGTGGCCTCGGCCTGCCACACGTCTGGCCATAGCCATGTGCGTGCCAAGCTTTTCGGTATGTTGTTCCGAGCACGCTCGCACCCAATCTGGACGTGATTTCAAGAACACGTGCCGCGTGGGAGTGCAGCTGTTCGGTGCGAGGCGTTGTCGTTGCAGTGGCGAGCTCGGCAACCGCCGCCGCTGCAGCGTGTTTCAGGTTTTCCCTGTCTAAGTTTCGCTTTCGCACCAATCTGCCACCTCATCCTCATCCTTCTCATTGGTGCCCTCTCCGACCCCATCGTCCGCATCTGGCTCGCGCTCTCGCTATTTTGTAGACCACCCAATTCGAGCGCGAGCATGCTCATGTATATACGGCGCAGTCCTACCAATTGTGCAACATAGTTCGGCACGTCCGAATCCTTCTCCAGACATCCTGAGCGTAGGTTAATGTATTCAGAGCAATTCAGTCTTCCGTCAGGTGTCGATGATTTCGACACGTGCTGCAACTGATGCTACGTGGACCCGATTGGCGTTGATCCAGCGCTTCTGACATGTCCAACGCCGCCTCTGGTCTGGACCGTTAAGGTTGTCGCCATAATCTCCCCAGGGCTACGAGCATTGAATCGCCGCGCTGGGCTGTAGTGAAAAATCGGCCACCCGCCGTGCGCGCTGTACCAGAGCCCCTCAGAAGTTCGGCCCCGAACGAGCAGCCCACGAACCGAAAGGCGCAGACACAGCGTTGATTCACAGGGGCGAGTGCGATGTAACACATGTCACAACGACCAGAGCTCTCGACTCCATCTCTGCAGTTCATTTTTTGAGCCAGATCGATCTGTGAGGGTCCCAGGACCGAAAGCGGGGCAAAAACGCGCGTGCCGAATTTTCAAACAACGCTCGGATGTGACGGGAGGTCGCGTCGGCTCAAAATACATCCCGCTTTCTTCGTGTGCCTTTCTGGCGCCGCCTTGCGCCAGTGTTCCTTGGGGGAGAGACAGTTGCTTGGATCGCTCCCAGATGACCGTCGACGAGACGGGCTACGCCGTGATTGCCGGTGCCTCAGTGGGTGCATAGCTGAGGCTCCGAGCCCGGGCGGAGGAGCAGAAGGCTACGCGAACGGGACGGGATCTGACCTGGATCTCGGCTGTCGTCGCGCGCCGAGCCGCATTCGAAGAGGGGGATGGGCCTCGCGCCGAGGGGCTCCGCCGCGCGATGGGGAAGAGGCGGCGCATCCGCCCGCGCTCGCGGTTTCGGGAGCGGGGGTCGGCGGCGCGGGCAGGACGAGCAGCAAGGCCGAGCACGGGGCCTCGGCCCGTGCCTTTTGTCGAGGTGCTTTCCCGAGGAGGAGGAGGAGGAGGAGGAGGAGGAGGAGGAGGAGGA